TAAAATTCTAAAATTATACGTCTCTGAACTTCTGGAAGATCTAGAGGGATGCTTTTTTGTGATCATAATGATATTGTTATGCATATTCTTTATGGGGTTTTTTGACGATATCATAAAGGCATCACAACAAAACCCTGTGTGATATCTCTTAATGAAAGCGATGTATCGATATCTCAACCGATACCACTAGAATATCACTTTCAAGTCAATATGATATCACAAAGGACATCATAAAGACAATTCGAACCCACGTGTACTTAGCGCATACTTGTTCATTTAGTCTGGCCCATGAAGAGAAGTCCGTACAGGGCACCATTCAAAAGTGGTCTGACTGTGTCAGTTGCATCACTGCAGTGTAGATCTGCATGGGAGTATGCTCTTGTCTTATTGTCACGCTCGAGCCGATGGCATCATGTGTCTGATTCCCGTGCAGTAGGTTTATTACTTATGAATGTGGGGGTGGCGAGAATCGAATGACCCAATGGACTCTTGTTTTTGTTTTATTCCGAAGAAAAAGAAAATGGAATGAATACAATTGAGAAACGGAGAGATCCACGGGTTTGTATAGGACTCGTTTGGAGAAATCGAAATAAAACCACCGACCAAACAGTAGTGTAGTCGCTAGTAAACGAGTCATCCTGTCTAAGTTTTAATGGAAAGGTGCATAAATGCCAGACGGGGAATACTTTACCACGAAATTATAGTTAACACGAACGTGGAAACGGACTAAATGACCCAAAGACCGATGCACGATATCATGGAACCAACAGAAGCATGTGGAAACAACACGTATAAACATAAGACAGATATGGAGACTCATTACAAGATTCATCTACATAAGGACCATACCGACTCCCCGATTCCCGGTACACATGAGACGGAGCGTCCATCTATCTACGTTGGCTATCCACAAAGGAACGGCAAGGTACTCTAGTTCCTCGAAGGCAAGTCGACTCTGACCGTGTTATAGGACTAACATGATGCAGACAGACAAGCAGAGACCTACGCGGGTCAGTCGTAGTGGACATGTGAGAGTCTGGACTCAGATAGACACAGTAAAGCGGAATTTCGTCTTGTGGGGGACAAGACGAATGGAAAGTTCCACATACGCACTTGTGTACAAATGACACAAGGCTCACGAGAAGTCCAACCAAGTCGTTTAGACTCTCTCTCGACCTGGTGTTTGTGTATATAGACCAGCTCACGTACGCCCTGTTCATCTAATTTGAAGGATGACGGAGGGACATGAAAGAACCGAGAATACAAAGTCGCAGCGCACACAATAAGATTAAAACCGAGGTGTACACACACAGAGACCCTGAACGGTTTAGGACGTAAAGTTTAGAAGGTCATAAAACGGAGTGTATTAGAGAACTTGTAAAACTGACCCTGGAAGAACCAAACGAGGTTTTCCAGATATGGATTCTTTATAAAGTTGAAAGGGTCCAAAAAGTAAAACTTGGAAAGTCACTCGTAGGGGAAATGTAGAAAGGTTATGGTAGAGGAGCACGACCAGACGATATTACTCTAGAAGTTTGGGTATAATAATCCTAATGGAAAAGCGAACACGAAAAGAGAACATATGTTGTGAACACTAGCGCCCCCAAAACAGGGTTTTGGTAAACCAGTCAGTTTTGTACACTACCATGTATCGTAAGTATGACAAAGACGGCTGACGAAATTTGGTAAATCTCTCTAACCACGTTGACGTATATTGAGAAGTGGCAAACTGACAAGAGTATTGGAAGACCAACAAGGTATATATAAAGTGTTAAGTTACCCACCGTACTTTATCCGACAAAATTGTAGGTAAACCACATTCAATTTGAAAGGACACGCGGAAACGTACCTCATAAGAATGTGAACAGTATAGTCGACACCCACCCTTACAGAGTAAGTATCAGTAAGGACCAAAGACTGACATTCGGAAAATCGATGTTTAGCGGTGGCGGAACATGAACAGACTGGGTAGTTACTAGTGAGAACTCACGCACTGGGTAGATGGGGTGATGGGCACGGCCCGTAACCACTCCAACATTCACAAGAGCAGAGGAGGTCACTAGAGTAGAGGAGCAGTACGGTGAAAAAAAAGGTGACGGAACTAAACCCACTGCGATCGCAGGACCTTCCCAAACATCCTTACAGACGTATGACGAGACATTGTTTTTAGGTACGTGACACGTCACGGAGGCATTAGCAGTCAGGAGTTTGAGGACATCCACTCGACCAGAGGCGCCCAGACAAACCTCAGAGCCACCTGAAAATGGCCGACACATGCAAGTCAGCACAAGTCCATTTCAGGGTCTTCGTGTGTGAAACTCATAGAACTGGGACCGTAGTAAAGGTTAGGTGTAAGTAGGGTTTGTTGTAAAAGTAGCGGACAGGACTGGGGACTACAATGTAGTGATAGTGAGTATAAAGTAACATACTTGAAGACCAACAACCAAAGGAAAAGAAATCGGGGGAAACACTTCAACTGGTCCGACACGAAAACCTGGGAGAGACACAGACTCTTATGTGGTCCATTTGCGACCCGATAAAAAATAGGTTCGGACTACTTTGTGGGAGCGAGTGTGGATCCGTGAAAGGGAAGGACGCTTCCTCGCGGTGACTGCGTTTAAGACTCAAACCGTAATTAGAACCAATGAAACGGACACTTGTCGAGCATACACGCAAAGAAACACGCGGATGACATTGTGGACAAGGAATGTATTCGACGACAGACATACCCATCAAGGTATCAAATAAACCATGAACGTAAAGATGTCATTCGTAGACTCGGGTATAGTATCTCTCAACGCGGTTGGAAGAGAGACGCACATGGTACAACCACCACCTTATCACGTCTGCAGAGCACAGATAGGATAACCATTGTACGGACCCTTCAGAGCCGAACATTGAGTCACGGCATACCGACATTGCCTTGTGATTGAAAGGCATCCCCGATACAGACGACATCTGAAGACCCGGGACTGACAAGATACTAATGCTGTCAAAATTATCGCGTTAACGGCGTTAATTAATTTTTTTGAATTAATT